GGAGGGAGGGAGGGAGAGAGGGAGAGAAAACATGGACTGGTTGCCTCCCATATCCACCCCAAATGGGGATTGAACTCACAACCTAGATATGTGCCCTGACTGGGAATCTAACCTGCAACATTTCAGTGTATGGGACAATGCTCCCACCAACTGAACCACACCAGCCAGGGCCCAATTTGTACTTCTTAATCCCTTCACCTTTTTACCCAAACCCCCAACCCCACTATCCCCTTGGCAACCATCAGTTTGTTCTCTGTATATATGTGTCTGTTTCTATTTTGTTTGTTCATTTATTTTGTTCTTTAGATTCCACTATTATTGAAATCATACAGTATGATTTTTAAATTTTAGTTTTTAATCCCTTCACCCTCTTTCTTCCACACCCTCTCCCCTCAAACAGCTATCAGTCTGTTCCATGTATCCATGCTTGTGTTTCGATTTTGTTCGTCAGTTTATTTTGTTCATTAGATTCCACGTATGGGTAAGATCATAAGGTATTTGTCTTTCCCTGACTGACTTATTTCATTTAGCATAATCCCCAGGTCCATCAATGCTTTCACAAAAGGTAAGATTTCTTTTTTCATGGCCAAGTAGTATTCCATTGTGTAAATGTACCACAGCTTTTTTTATCCACTCATCTGCTGATGGACACTTGGGCTGTTTCCAGACCTTGCCTATTGTAAATAATGCTGCAATTAACATAGGGGTGCATATATTCTTTTGAGTTAGTGTTTTGGGGTTTTTTTAATATATTCCCAGAACTGGGATCACTGGGTCACACGGCAGTTTCATTTTTAATTGTGGAACTCCTGTTTGAGTCTGTGTATTATTTTTAGTCTCTCTGTTACTTATTTCCACTCTGATCTTAATTATTTCCTTCCTTCTGGGCTTTTTTTTGTTCTTTGTTTATTTCTTTTAGGTGTAGAGTTAGATTGTCTGTGATTTTTTTCTTGCTTCTTGGGGTAGGACTGTAATGCTATGAAATTCCCTCTCAGGACTGCTTTTGCTGTGTTTCATAGATTTGGGGTTGTTTTGTGTTCATTTTCATTTGTTTCTTGGTAACTATTGATTTCTTTTTTTTTGCTTGATCTCATTGTTAAGCCAATCATTGTTTAATAACATGTTATTTAGCCTCCATGTGTTTGAATGTTTTTCTGTTTGTTTTTAGTGTAATTGACTTCTAGTTTCATACCATTGTGGTCAGAGAAGATGCTTGATATTATTTCAATCTTATTAAATTTGTTAAGACTTAGTGCCCTAACATGTGGTCTATCTTTGAGCATGTTCCATGTACACTTAAGAAGAATGTGTATTCTGCAAATAATCTGTGATGAAATATTCTGTAAATAATTAAATCCATCTGGTCCAGTGTGTTGTTTAAGGTCACTGTTGCCTTCTTGATTTATTTTCTGGAAGGGCTATCTGTTGATGCCAGTGGGGTGTTAAAATCCCCTATAAATGTATTGCTGTTGAGGTGTTCCTGTATTGGGTGCATGTATATTTACAACGATTATATCCTCTCGTTGGGTTGATACTTTTACTATTATGTAGTGACATTCTTTGTCTCTTGTTATGGCCTTTGTTTTGAAGTTTATTTTGTCTGATATAAGTATTGCTACCTTAGCTTTTTTTTCGTTTCCATTTTCATGGGACATTTTTTCCAACCCTTTACTTTCAGTCTGTGTGTATCTTTTGTTTTGAGGTGGGTTTCTTGTAGACAGCATATATATGGGTCATGTTTTCTTTTTTAAAAAATTTTATTTTTGTTTAAAATATTGCAGATGTCCCTTTTTCTCCCCAATGACCTGTTCCACCCCGTCCCATCCCCCTCCCTAGACTCTCTCCTCACCATCGTCCATGTCCCTGGGTTGTGCATATATGCATATAAATTCCTTGATTACTCTCTCCCACTCCACCCACCCGCCCTCCTCCATCCCTCTGACATTCGTTAGTCTGATCTGTGCTTCCATGTCATTGAATCTATTCTGTTCATCAGTTTATTAAGTTCTTTAGATTCTACGTATAAGCTAGATCATGTGATATTTGTCTTTCTCTGCCTGGCTTATTTCACTCAGCATAATTTTCTCTAGGTCCATCCATACTG